ACGCATCCGCGCTGTGCTGTCACTGCGTGCCTAATTACAGGGACGCTGCACCAGTTGTCCAGTGCGGGGAATTTTTCTGATAAATTAAAACACTAATTAAATAGGCTATTGCAGAATTTTGAGAACATTGTAGGGTTCTGCTTCTCCAGGTAATTTGCATATCCTTCATCTGGTGAATTTAATTTTAAAGGACTTCCTTTTCGTCTCCCTCGAAGATAAAAATGGGCTTTATGCATTGTTCTTGGCTTTATTAAAACAGCTTCTCGCAGGGTTTCCACCCCCTGGCCCTGCCGTCCGGCTCGGACCCACCGGCTCAGAGTCCACGCGAGGCCACAAAAATAGCATGGAACTGACATCTGATGGAACACTAGTAGGTTTGTCTTTTCTTAAAATCCTTTAGCCAGAGACCAAACAAAATGGCCATGTTGCCGTGGCGTGCCTAGAAAGTGGTCCTTCGCTTAGACAGCGATGCAGGGAGCGGTGTGGGCACAGGCCAGACGCTTGAGGGGGCGGCGCCGTGCGCGTGGGGTCCAGGGTGAGGCAGAGGGTGTTCGTGTCTCTGTTGCACCCGGCAGAAGGGATTTCTGGAAGGAGGTCCCCTGGCTGGGGGCACCCTCGGAGCGAATTCCCCGAAACGGCAAACGTGTGGGGCCGCGCGGAGGAGGATGTCCGAGTGGCCTGGGCATCACGGAACGTGCCGGAGATGGCTGGGATGGCTTCCGTTCCAGGGCCACTTGCGCTGAAAAGAACAGGAGAGCTGTCTGTAGGACAAAGAAAGAGCAGGCGCCGGCCGGCGGCCACGTTGTGTGGAAGGGGTGGCTGCGTGGCTCTCAGAGCGAGTGGGGCTCAGAGCGGGGGGTTCACGGACACAGTGATGCTGATGGGGAAGCTGGGCCTTAACCCAGGTCACCCAGCAGGCGGCCCGGAGGGACACTCAGGTGCATTCAGACACTGAAGCAGAGAAGCATCAGTGAACACATCAATGGCCTCGGAGACCACAGGTGGTTGGCATCTTAGAGCAATGAGCAAACAGACGTTGTCCTCAAGCTTGAGGGCAAAACCGAGGCTGGGTGAGGCAGAGGACCGTGCGCAGGACCACAGCCGGTCTTCCTGTGTGCCCGCGGCTTGCCGTTGGAAACTCCCTGCGCGGTGAGGCCAGGAGTGGCCCACAAAGGGTGGCTGGCACAGGATGGGGGTCCCTCGGCGACCGTTGGTATTTGCAGAGCACAGAGGACAGAAAATCTGGACAGCGGGGATTCTGGGAGCGGAAGCCCGCCGCTCCCGGGGCCCAGAGCCTGGTGCCCACGCGCCCGAGCATGCCTGAGACTCCTGAGGGTCTCACGACAGGTCCTTCCCCGCAGCCACCGCATCGGCCTGGGGTTTCCTGGCCACTCGCGGGACGCGGAGTCTGGGCGGGTCAGCCCGGGGCCATCGCTGGACAGAATTACCGACGGGCCTGGAGCTGGGGGCCGGCTCGTGCCCCCAGATGCATATGTGGAGCCCCCACCCCCAGGCTGACTGCATTTACGGACACGGGGATAGTAAGGGTCAGACGAGGTCATGAGGAGGGGGCCCTAATCTGGCGGGATTGGGGTCCACATGAGAAGAGGAAGGGAGAGCCCCTCCACCACGTGTGGGCACCTTGGGGGGTGGCGGCCTACAGCGGGGAAGAGGGTCCTCCCCAGACACGCAGCCCACCACCCGCTCCGCGTGGGGTGCGTGGCCCCCAGCGCTGTGGGAAGTCGATGTCCATCCTTAAGCCGTGGGGCCGCCGTATTCCTGACAAGCCCACACGGCCCGAGACGGCCCTGCCCGTGGCCCCGGGCCACACACCGTGCTCCCTTGGCTTCCCCATTTCTGAGGAGGAGACCACGTGATGCAAATCCCAGGTGGTTTAGGCCTAACGGAGGTTACGGACTGCTCCTTGGTGCCTGGCAGGGCATCTTGCTGCTGTTGTGATTTGGGGCTTGATTACGTGGATTTTGGCTTCCGTCTCACTTTGATCCGTTCAGGAGACTGAACCAGGCCCCGCGCCCGCTACTCCCGGGCTGGGGCTGCGTGTCTCAGCGGCCGATTGGTTGGAGCTGAGTGACCTCCTCTGTAAAAGGCCAGGACGGCTTTGGGAGGCTCTGGGCCGGCGGAGCCTCACGAGCGCCACCCGGGCCCTGAGAAGCGGACGCACCGTCCCAGCGGCCTCCGGGGCATCACGGGGACCCGGGGCACACGTGGGCGCCGCATCGCGCCAGCTCTCAGAGGCCATCATCTTGTCTTGCGTGCCACTAAAATAGCGGAGACCAGCGATTAAACCATATTGTGATGCCCCCCTGGTCCCCAGATCACTTTGTGTTTATCGACGACCTGTGTCAGAACCAGCAGCCGCATCGACCTGCGAGCGCAGCCGTGGGTCGGGCTGTGACGGCACCTCTTTCCCACACACGGCCTGTGCTTCTCCATCGGTGTTGGTGACGCAGCGTTTCCCAAAGAGCCTACCAAGCAGCCGGTGCCCCTTCCAGAACTTTCTGGAGTTGGTCAGAAGGTGCCAGCGGCAAGTGGTCTGGTAGAACTGGGGAACGCAGACCCTTCCTCAGAAGGCCTGTGACGGACGGCATGCGGGCGGCAGCCGGTCCACGGGCCACGCGTGCACGCGGTCAGACGGGTCAGACGTGGGGGAGTCCAGGAAACAGGACACGTCAGGCTGTAAACGGGGCAAGAGTTCCTGGAAGCTGTGGTGGGGGCGGGCTGCCGTGCTCCCCTGGGGCTCCTTTCCTTGTTTTCAGGGATATTGGGAGCCAGGCATTCAACGCAGCTGAAGGACGTTCTACCCACTCACATTTAAAGCCGTTGAAAACAAAAGACTTTTGCTGGATCTACGATAGGGGTCCGTTACTATGACCTATGGGCCAAATCTAACCTGTCACCTGTTTCTGTATGGCCTGTGAGCTAAGAATAATTTCTGAATTTTAAATTAGTGCAATATCAAAATAATAGTGTTTCGTGACACATTAAAATCATGACATTCAAGCTGTGAAGTCCATAAAGTTTTATTAGAACACAGTCAAAAAAACCCAAAGGACTTGGTACCCACTCAGCCCTGCATGGTTCAGTCACCGCATTTTAGTGTCGTCTGCTCACTGGAGGTCATTTGTGTCGCCGTTTCCGGGTAGTGGGAAGGCTGGATAACCGAGTGTCCTGGGGGTGTGGTGAGCCCGCGCCGCGTGGCTCTGAGACCTGTGGGGACACGGGCAGGAGTCGCTGCCGGGAAGGCCTCCCAGCACCCGGGGCTTGGGCTGCTTGGAGGCCGATCCTGCTTCCCTCGAGCTGAGACCAGCGTGCATTTCTGGTGCAGGAAAGGGCCTGGGGCCTAGGGGACTGGTCGGCAAGCCTGCGGAAGGGTCCTAACTTTGCCCTGCAAACAGGAGGATGGCCAGCGTGCGGCCCTCTGCTTGGTGGGGGGAGATCACCTGCCGCCGGCTTTGTGGAGGAGGTTTTGTCGGGACACGACCAGGACGTCCGCTTGGGTAGGATCCCTGTGCCTTCACGCAGACCCCTGGCCTGCCCCGCCCGGCACACCTACCACCCCGCCTTCTCTAGGAGGTTTGCTGACCCTCGGACTGGGTTCTCCGCGTTATTATTGTCAGACCGGCTTTTTCATCCCTGACCCTGAAATATCGGGTACTCCTCTGTAGCAGTAAGTGCAGTCCCTTTAAAATACCCTTTTCATGTGCTTTCTCCTTCTCAGCCTATTTAAGAGCTCACTAGTATTCCCCCCAAAAGTAGCTTGACATTCAGTAAAGCGTCTCCTTTGTTCGCAGAAGAACATTAAGATCGATTGCTTTGTACTCTGGCTCTTCAAGACTGTTCCCCTCCATTCGGGGTTTACACTGGGACACCCCCTCCCCCTGCCCTCTCTCTGGCCCCGCACCCGCTGAAGGGTCTGAAAGCGTTTGCCTCCCCAGCCCAGATGGGGTTGTGTCTGCCTCGTTCTCTCAGCGCGGGGATAATTACCTGCGTGTAAAAAATAATGTTCATTTGTTCACGGGGAAAAACTTGGTACAAGACGACGAGAGGCCCCGAGGTGGGCAGACAGGCTACAGCGGGCTCCCGTTTGTAACCCTCTACGAGATATAATCCCATTACCCAAGATTAACGTGGGTGCAGGACAGTAAGAGTTGGAAGTAACCGCTATTTTCTTGTTCTCGTTCGGCATTAACCACAATTGCAAGACACTCTTCATTCTTAGGGTCTGCAGTAAAATTGTGTTTTTCCTGGTATTCATTTCCAAAATGACATGGGCTTTACCCGAAAGAACACTGCTGCAGATTTGTAAGCCAAGGTCAATTGCTTCGTGACACGACTTCTTCCCGACAAAGTGGGGGCAGGTGGCTTTGCGGTGCGGGCGTTAGGATTGCCGGGTTTTCATTTACATCTGCTAATTGTTCCAGAGCTCACTTCCCTTGGTCTCATATGGAGGGTCATCGTCCTCTGCCGGTCCCCCTCGTTCTAAGTCAGGGGCAAACTAGGGCGCGGATGAGGGACGGGGCGGCCCCCGGCACCGCTGGAGTCAGTGCCCGCGCTCAGGCTCGCCTCCCAGTGAGTCTTCTTCGTGAGCTCGGACCCTGGTCAAGGGGCTAGGGTTAGGGTGTCTCCCGATGATTGCTCAGTGAATGGCCATCAGATAGTTCTAAAATGAGACTTCACAGTACGCAGAGAATGTCTGCATTCGACGCCTCGTGCAGTGTTTGCAACAGCCGTGTGAGCTCGCTGTGATGACGCTCGCCCTGTGCGTCTGCTCCCGGGGTGGGGCGGGGGGGGGGGTGGCGGAAGGGGCCTCGTGCCCAGCGGGACCAGCTCCAGGCTCGTTCACAGCTGGGCTGTTGAATTCAGCCGTCTGCACACAGTGACTTCATGAAATGCTTTTCAATAGAGGAAAATGCTCAGAGTGTCTTGAGAACGATGAGCTCTGTAAGCTGACCCCTGTGCTTCTTAATTTTTCCTAACAGTTGACAACAAGGACAAACTGGAAAAAGCATCTGGACTGGAGATTCTTCAGGCGGGAAGCGGGTCGGTGAGTACAGGAGGGGCTGCCCTCTGAGACGCGCCTGTTGGGGTGCCGCTCCCGTCCGTGTGGGGACCCGGGGGATGGCCGTACGCGGTCCGTGTGACATCATGCTGACCTGGGAGAGGCCGGAGTTGTTACCTCCCGCTGCTTGAAGACGCCGGTCCACGGAGCCTGGCGAATGTGACGCTGTGTTCGGTGGCATTTGAAGTTGTGATTCAGCGTCCCCCTGAGAACGCAGCCACGGGGTCGGAAAACACTGAATCCTCAGAAAACACGGACTTCCTTCTTCAGAGGTTTTGTGGTGGCTAAGTTTGTGGACGTGCCCCAGCCAGAGGCATTTCTTGTACCCTCCGGGGACTCGGTGGGGGGGGGGGTGGCAGCCTGTGCCGTGTTACATGGAGACACGCGTTGGGCCGGGACACCACGCACGCGGGAGCGCCTCCGCGCTGTGACCGGGTGGCCGTGCTGCTTCAGGAAGAGGTGCTCGGCCAAACGCTCCCGCGGCAGCCACAGCTGATGGCGCCCACCTCTGGGCCCCCTGGCTGGCGCCCGCTTCCCCGTCTCAGAGCAGCTTCGTGAGTCGCACGCGGGACGACGTGGTTCCTCGCCAGGGTGGCAGCCTGCCACTCGTAAGGCAGCGTGGACCCAAACCAACCGGTGCTATTGCGTCGAAAGTGTAGATCTCACGGCCTGGGCCGTTACAGATAATTAACTGCTAGGGGGCGGCTGATTTATGAGTGCTCCTCGCTAACCGCGGAGACGCCCTCCACGGCGCCACTCAAAGATTAGCCGCTCTCGTGGGGAAATCTGCCGTTCGGCAGTTGGGAGTCCTGGCTCTCGAAATGAGAATTTTAATTAGTTGCTCCTCACAAACAGGCTCCTTTCCGCACTTGCCGAGTGGCGGGCGGGTAGGAAGGGCCTTGCAGAGAAAGCGCCCGCGTCCGTGTTCCGCTGGCGTGACGGGCAAAGTGGGGAGGAGACGGGCGGAGACTCGGTCGGCGAAGGCTCCGCGGGACCGAAAGACCCCACTGTGCTTGGTCCCTTCACTCCCAGCTCGGGCCGCGAGGAGGGTGAGCGTGTGTCAGGGAGGACGGCCCACTCGACCCCGCCCCCGCGTGCTGGCAGTGAGGGGAGGAGATGGAGACGCGGGGGTCCGGAAAGGGCCGAGCCCCCGAGGAAGGGGCCGGGGCCAGTGGCAGAAAGGGCCAGGATGGCTCGGAGCGTCGGAGTCTCGATGGAAGCTTCCGACCGTGCTGCCGGTCTGGGATGCAGCAAAGACGGGGAGCCCCTGCTCTCCTTTCCTGCCTCATCCTCACGGGGGGGGGGGGGGTCTTGTTCGGTGTCGAGTCGTTGCCGCAGGAGGTGACTGGGGAGAACGTCCACGCTGCTTCTGCCGGGAAAGCTCTGGCACCAGGAGCCCCCCCCCCCACCAGGGTCCACGTGAGGACGTGGGGCTGCCGGCCCCCCCAGACCCCAGTGCGGGGCCTGGTACCCGGGGGCCCTCTTCCTGAGGGAAACACCGTCTCCTGTAGTTTCGGGAAAGAGAGGGGACACGGCGATGGGCTGCGCCCCCGGCTCGCTCCGGCCGAGCGAGGTTTCAGAGGCGCCCTCCCGGCCGGCTGCTGAACAGCAGACGGCGAACAGCACTGTCGTTGGGACCCCAACCCTCCACCTGCTGGGGGACGCCGCTCAGACCCGGGGCTCTGGACGTTGTGACTTCGCGTCCTCGCGCCTCCCCGGCATCTTGGCCAAGCCCTGCTCCGGTCCCTGCCTCCCCGAGGTCGGGTCCCCTCTTTGAGCCCCTCTGCCCTCCGGTGGCTTGGGGGTCACCGACCCAGCTCGTGATGTGCTGCTGCAGCCCCCCAAGCTCCGTGTCTGTCTTCTCCCTGAACCTCGTGTCTCCCGGTCTCGGCTCCCCCCACACGACTCCGCCTCCTGCCCTGTCACGGGAGGTGATCGCGGCCTCCGCCTCGCTGGGTCCCTGGGAAGCCTCACAGGAAGATTCCCTGCTTCCCCAGCCCCCGCAGCCCCCGGCGGCGTGTGCTGTCCCCGTGTGGCCCGACCCGCACCTTGAACCCACGTGGAGCTGCCACATTCCGGCGAGCGGCTCCCAGTCGTGCCCAGCTTTTCCCTTCTCCGTTCATTTTGGCATCTGGACGCTCCCCGTCCCTCTTTGGCCTCGGTTTTGTGTGGTTTTCCGTGGGTGTGTGTTCTTTCGTGTTTCTGTGTCTACAGTGAGAGGGCCCCCCCCCCCCCCGGTCCGCGCCCCCCCCCCGCGCCCCCCCGCCGGGAAAAATTTTTACGGGGGGGCCGGTGGGGGCCGGGCCCCAAAAAGGGGGTGGGGGGGGGGGGGGGGGGGGGCAGACAGACCTCCCCCTGGCAGAGCTCCCCTCCCGCTGGGAGCCGGGGCCCACGGAGGGACCGGGCTCGCTGTCCCCTGTCAAGACAGAGCCCTGCGTCACCTCCACTGGTTTTGTCTCTCTGTCTCACGTGGACAAACCATCTCTGCGTTTCCGTGCCACGAGCCTCACTCCGGGTCGCGTGGCGACCACGAATCAGGTCCACGTCCGGACAGCCTCCCCGCTGCCGTCACCCCCTCTCCCTCCTGGCCTGGCCTCCTCACCCGTGGGCTTGGGAGCCCCGTGGCCTCGACGTCTGCCCTTCTCTCCACCGGCACACAGGTTCACGCTCACCTCCTCGGTCGCCACCCGCGTCACCGCCTGTGCCGTCCGTTCCCGTGTCCGCCAGCGGCGGCGCTGTCGGGAGCCTCCGGGCTTCGGCGCGAGTGTTTGTTTTCTTTCTCCGCCCCCGCGGGGCTGCGGCTTGGGGGTCAAAGGGCGTGTTTCGCTGGCTTTCCCATCGCCCTCTTGCCGAGGGAGCACAGACTCACCGGCACGGATCTCGGGGGACGGCTCCGCACCCGCCAGACGGTCATTTGCAAGCGCTTTCACTGGCCGTTCCCCGTGCGCGCCCTTGGCGATTCCCCCCTCCCTCGTGTGCGCACACCCCCACCCCCCTCCGTCCACGCCCCTGCCACGTGCCTCCTGCGCCAGAGCTCTGCATCCCGCCCGTGTCTACGCTGCCAGCTGGGACGAATGTCGGGTCCCCTCCGCTCTTGCCCCCTCTGCACTAGCACATCAGCCCCCCCTCTCCGGCTCGTGGCTGTCAGCACGCAGTCCGCTCCCGCGTTGCCCGCGCTGTTAAGTAAAACCCCGACGCCAGAGATGCCTTCCCGGCAAACGCTTCAACATCGGTGCGTATTTCCCACACACGGCGCCTCCCCCGCCTGCTCCCTGCACCCCTATCACCGCTCGGTCTCCCCCGTTGTTGAAGGTTCTGCATTCAGCCGCCTCTGACTCACGGCTGCCACACCAGCCGCCCCCTCCTGGACCGCAGTCCCTTGTCCCCCAGGCAGGTCTCACTGACCACTGAGGTCCCGCTCTGACGCCCCCAAGGCACAGTCTTCTTCCTTGTACTGCCTCCCGAGGGATCGCGTCCGGGCCTTGGCTTTGTTGTTACCCATAGGATGGTGACCCCAGACTCCCCTCCCCAGGCCGACACGCTCAGTGTGCCCCAGTCACCCCTGCGTCTCTGCACCTGGAGGTGTGGCGAGCCATCTCAGCCCACGAGGGCAGAGCAGGACACCCGAGCTCCCTGCCACCCCATCTCCGTCCCCGAGGTTCTGCGTCCCACAGACAGAAAGGGTGTCACTGTCAGCCGTGCGGTGCGGTCTAGGCATTGGATTGACCCGATTCCCCGGGCAGGCGGGGAGGTCCTGCTAGGTGGGGATGGGGTGCCAGCAAGCCCCACCCCCCCCCCCCCCCCCCCCCCAGCACTGGCTCCTTCCTTTTCACCCACCTGACTCATTTCCCTCTGGTCCCTGAGTGGCCAGAGCCTGACCTCGCCACCTTCAGGGGCGGAAACAACCACCCCCGGGGACTGGGACCCGGCCGTGCAGACTCCCCTGCCATCCTGGCCGCCCCCCAAGCCCTGTCTCGTCCGAAGCCCCAGGGCTTTCTTGCTGCACCGCGTGTGTGGAGACCAGCTCTCCATTCGCCTGCCCTTGTCCTCCTGGCGGTCTCAGAAGACAGCGCTCCCTCACCTTGAAGTTGACTGAGGTCGTTCTTGGCAGGTTCTCCTGCCCAGGATCCCCGCCCCCTCCCCGGACTCCTGCCAAAGCCGAGCACATTCAGAGGCCGCCCCCGATGGAGGCAGGGGCGCCGGTGGGTTTGGAGCTGGTTTTAGAAAGTGAAAATGGGAACAAAGGGGGCAAAAGTGGAGGTGTTTTTAAAAAGCTAACGTCTCTTTCTCTGACGTTAACCGTGTCGTGCCGTATTAGGGCTGATTTTGATGATTCTGGGGTTTTTTTTTTCCATGTATTTGCTGTGCATCTGCTAATTCTGAGTCTGGAGTGAGTGGTGGACGGTGGTTGCTAAATGCCTCGCGGTCTCTCTCCCTGGTGCTCGAGACTCACACACGTGGTGGCAGAGCCAAAGCCCTTTAAGCCAAATGGAAATACCTCGAAACAAAACTTAAAGGAAATGAACAGATTACAGTACACGCACACATTCCTAGTAGATCGGGGGTATTTTGTCGTGTTTCAGGATCTGATTTCTGACATCTTGAAAGGGTTTGCATTTTCTTCAAATTAATAAAGTCATGTTTCTTCAAAAGGAAAATTATAATATTACGAGAAAAATTCAAACATTTAGAAGGAAAATCATCTAGATGATTGTCACTGGGAGGGATCCGGGAGGGCAGACCCCTGCGTCTAGCTCCCGTAAGTGCATGTGAAATACGGAGTTACTTTCTGATCTCGTGACGGTGTGATCTCAGCGGGAGAGTGGCTGCCCCTCGAGCCCGGCATTGCTCCCAAGCCTCGGAAACTCAGCAAGGGAGCTTCAGAAGAGCACACGGCACCACACAGTGGTCCTGGTTCAGATCGAACGCTGAGGGCCTGCCGCGGAAGGAGCCCGGGATGGTAATGAGCTCTCCGTCACCCGGCA